TGTACAAAATATGAAATTTCCTTCATACTCCAGTGAATGCTTGGTGTATAACCTGTGTTCGATGCGTCTGCAAACGCAGTCTGTAGTTTTTTTCTACAAATTGCTTTTTCCTTTCTTTATAATTTAATGATAATAAAAATAAGCATTCGTTGAGTATTTTTTTCTAATGTGGCAGTCAATGTGTTAAACCTGAGGCTCAGAAAGGTTAATGACTTGCTCAAAGTCACAAACCTAGTCTTGTGCTCTTAACTACTATGCCTTTGTACCGTGAGTCATGAGTTAGAAACCAAATCTCTTCAGGGTCAGGGAGCTTAGTTGATTCTGGAACATTTCTCATTCTAAACAGAACTATCCTCTTTTGGTGGTGCTAGTAGATGAGTGGTTCAAAGTAGTGCTGGAGGCTGTTTATCTAGATCCTCTACTGGCTTCTGGTAGTTTCTCACTTATCTTGGTAAAGTGCATGTGAAAATGCGGCCTGGACATCACCTGGGGAAGGGACTGTGTTTAAAGAGTGTTCTTCAATGGTTCCACCCCCTGTTGGTGAGGAAGAAAATAAAGGGCATTGCGGGAGGGCTCTAGCCTCAGCTCTCCTTGTTGAAAGCTGGCTTGGGTGAGGATAGAGAGGGCCTGCTCTTCAAGATTGCAGGAAGGGAGAGGGAAGACCATAGCAGACATAATTTAGATCCAGAAATCCTGGAAAGGACTGCCTGTACCAAGTTGGAGATTAAGGGGGTTTAGGATAGAGATAAATCTGTGTTTGAGGTCCTAAATAGGCAGAGCTTGGTAATCCATGGTTAGAAGTTTGGTCTTCATCCTAAAAGCATGGCTTACCATGCTTCTCAGATGTACTGAGCTTCTACTCAGTACATCCATCCATTATGTCTCTTAGATTAATTCTGGCTAAATCTCTTAGCTCATAGCCCTTCTTAAAGATAGTTTTCATGTCTTCTGGCTCTTCAGGTTGTATAAGATATTGGTTAAGAATCTAGCGACTAGAGCCAGATTAAATGAGTTTGAATCCCAACTGCCAGTTACTAGCTGTGTGACCTTGGGAAAGTCACTTGAACCACCCTGTGCCTCAGCTTCCTCTTCTGTAATATGAGACTAATTATAGTACCTACGTCATGACCACAGGACTTCTGTGAAGATTAACCAAGTTCATACAGGCAAGGCTGTTAGAACAGTGCCAGCCTCGTTTTTGCTTCATAAGAGTTGCTTATTATTTTAGTCATTGTTGGTGTTATTAAAAAGATTACTGAGAAACACACACACCATCTTTATATGAGTGATGCTATCTACCCAAATCCCGGTCCCCAAATTCTTCACCCACTCCTGCTTCTCCTGTAAGACTCAGCTTTGATACCACCTCTTTGAGGAAACATTCTCCCTTTGTCCCTCACTCCCTTGTGTTAATTGGGTCCCACACGTGTGCCCAGATCTTTCCTGTTACTTACCCCATAGGCTTTTGAATCATTGACTTGTCTCCACTCTGGATGAAGACTCCTTGAGGCCAGAGACTGTAGGTTTTGTTTGTGATTATTTTTTCCTTTTCTTGTTTCTATTGTTACTGTAATTTTTATTCTTTGTATCCCCTGGCCTGCTATACAGCAGATACTTAGGTGGTGAGTGCAGAGAGTCAATAAGTGAAAGTGAGGTCTCAGCACAATCACAGGGCAACTTTTAACCTACTGAACAGAACAAATTATTTTGAATCTCACAGCAGCATGCCAGTATATAGCTACAAATACACATGCTTTTAAAATGATTCTAGCTGGGTCATTGCTGAAGGCACTATGCTGCATGTTGGTTAGGATTACTATACCCATGTAAACATTTAACTTGAAAAGGTTGTAATTCAGACCCCTTACAAATTCATGTTGCCCTTGTAGAATCTTGGTGAAATACTCTACTGCAAGGTTTCTCCGTCTCAATGCTATTGACATTTTGGACTGTATAATTCTTTGCAGTGGGGTCTGTGCAGTGTAGGGTGCTTAGCCACCATCCTTGCCCTCTACTCACTGGATACCAGTAGCACTTCTTCCCAGTCATGCTCAATGTCATGCAATGTCTCCAGACATTGCAGCAGTAGAGAACCA